AACACAGTATTTTGGGTACCCGGAAGCTGGCTGAAAGGATTAAGCTCACATCTCCCAAATCCCCACTAACAGAACATGAGAAGGTCAAGACCCTACTAAGGACAATGCTACTTTTGCTGCTTTCTGTGTCACATTTTGGTCCCTTTCAGTTTAATGATTTCAAGTTGCCAGTATGATTTCCTTCTTTCCTGCAGCTGCTGCTCTCGGGGGGCAGGGGAGCACATGGGCCCACCCCCTTGGTTTTCCTGGCTAGTGATTCTCACATCCTGCCTCCCTCCTTCCCCCTTGACTTGATGCCTCAGAATGAAGTGCTCTGCTAGGCGCCACTGAGGTGCCATGGGGCACAGGAATCCCTTTCTCAGTGAGGTCAGGGGTGAGAGAAGGGGTGGCCATTCCGCATCCTCAGGGCAGCTGGGGTAAGCACCCTGTACAAGAAATGTCACAGTGCACCAGGGAGAAAGTGCACAAATCCCAAAGCTGGGGAGCCGCGGTGCAGAAGGGACGCAGGATGAGCGGTGAGGGCACAGAGGCCAGGCCTGTGTGATGCGCCCAGCGGCAAAGCGAAGCTGCTGAGGGGAAGCTAAGGGTGATGCGACCACGTTTGTATTCGGAAAGCACCTCTGCCCACCTGCAGTCTCCTGCAGCGGCCCTATTCCAGTGCGCTCTGCAGAGTGCCCCACCAAGCTAACCTTCCTTGTGCACCCCTGTTCCAGTCTACTTACCCCAAGTCTTCACCTGGCCTCACAGCTCCACTGCTTTGCTTTCATACCCTGGGCTGACGAATCTTCCCCCACCCCATCCACCTTCCTTCCCTGCCCTCCTCTCTCCCTGCAGGCCCAGCGGGGCTGGGGCTAAGCTCCCCTCCCTGGACTTGGAGGTAGGTTCCTGCCTGAGCTGACCAATGGGATGGGGTGAATGGGGATTCCAGAACTTTCCCACTCACTCCTTAAGAGGACTGACAGCCCATCCTGCCTTCCTCTGGATCACTCCCAGCCACCAATCCAGGACCACCCACATCTGCAGAAAAGGACAGAGGAAGAAAATCACAGTGATTCAGTTCCCAGCCCTGGCTAAGCCCCTCATCCAGGTTAGCATCACTGCCAACCAGGCCAACCCTGCAGTGGGAGTGTGTCCCCACGCATTCCAGCCCCAGCTGACTGCTGCCTACAGCAGGGCCTGGACCAGACAGCTGCCACACAGACCCGGTCAGTCCACAGCACTGTGAAGAGTAATAGGAGTGGGTTGTTTCTGAAGTCATTAAGTGTGGGCTACTTCATAACAGACAACTGACACCGATACTGACATTTAATTGTGGTGTCAGCTTAACAGAAATGCCTGGCTAGTTTAGCACAGTCCTGGGTATGTATGGAAGATGGATTTGCTGAAGAGGGAAGCCCCATACTGGGTGTGGGTGGCACCAGCCAATCGGCTTGCAGCCTGGATGGAATAACAAGGGAAGAAGGAGGAAATGTCTCATCTGCTTCTTCAGAGGAGCACCAGTCTTTGCCAAGCTCAGACCCTTGGGCTGACTCACGAGATCCACAGCCACGGACTCCCCAGAGACTCTGCAGGGAGCGCCAGGTCTTTGGCTTTTCACTGAACCCTCCTGTGCTCCACTGAGCAGGAGGCTGCTCTGCATTCTCCCCTCCTGGCTCTGCACTGGGCACTACCTTGTTACAGCGTTTGGCGAGGTCGTCCCCCAAAGCCTCACGTGCTCACAGGTGGGGCTTTCTCCAAGGTGAGGGATATACAGCAATCATGTTACTGTCTCCCCAGTGTAAGATGCTGAAAGAGGAAACAAAATCTGAAAGGTACAATAGGTCCTGTGAAAGGGAAGGAAAGCATTCAAAGGGAAGGAACTACTTGGATGAGGGAAAGGAGAGAAGAAAGAAAGAAGGGCGGGAAAAAGAAATGTGCATGTGTATACAAAGGACGGCTGGGATAACCAGACTGCTGATTTCTGCTGGTCTACAGAAAGCAACAGTTAACCCTTATTTTTCTTTTAATTTTTGGGGCCAATTTTGCATGCTCATATCTGGTAACCTAAACAACTAATTTGAAGAGAACAATATGCAATGTAACAATGATTGCTGAACTCCTGTCATTGTGTTTAGTGAAATTCTGTAGCATTTCTAAGGGGGTTTGTTGCTGTTTTTACTATATTTTATCCTCCTTAAACATAGAGTACATGATGGTGGTATTAAGGGTATGTGATTACCAAACCAGGCCACTGATTGTTTTGTCATAGTCAGGGTGTGAGCTCTACCTCTCCTAAGGGCAGAAAGCAGGAGCCTCAACAGAATATATAGGGAAAGAAAGAGCTTGCAATGGTGGTTTGTTTTGCTGCCTTCTGCCCACCAGGAACTCTTTCTCCTCTGTGGCACCCCCTGCCGTGGCACCCTGCCTTGGAGCCAGCTGATTATGGACTGAGACGTCTACAAAGTGTGAGCTACACAGGCCTTTTCTCCTTTAACTTTGGGTGCTGGGCGTTTTGTCTCAGCAATGAGAAAAGTAACTAAGGCACTTGCTAATCTTTCGCTTACGTCGGCTCTCTAGCGAACCCTGACACAGATTCCATGTCTATGTCTGCCCGAGTCTGATCTCTGCAGCTGGCTCACACACACTCTGTAACCTGTTTGTTCCACGTTGTGTCCGTGTTCCTCTGTCTCACTGCTCAGAAAGACTGAAGCAGATGCCACGGCAGCCATGACAGATACCACGGCAGCCACAATGGCTCCACGAGGTAGTCTGGTGGGCTTGGTGCGCAGCAGGCATTGGAGAGAAGAAAGGAAATGGCTACACAGCAGCCGTGGAAGCAGCACCCGTGGGGCTTCATAGGAGCAGTTCAGCTCTGGGACAGCAGTAGGGCCAGCCAGGAGGAAAGCACGGTGTCATTCCTGAGTGCCCAGGGTCATATGTCAGCTAGAGACCGCTGTGTCTTTGCTCCCTGAAATTTAATTATACAAAATACTTAGTAATTCTTCATTAGCCAGAATGTTGGGATCATCAAACATTTTATGTTTTGGAATAATAGCCTTAACATAAAACCATAAAACTGGCCTCTGGAGCCTCATTTTTGAGATTCTACTGTACTACAGTATCCTAGAATTCAGATGAAGAAAGCTGAATTGGGAATTGTAAAGCACGTGTTTAATAATTTTAAAAGCCTATGTTGCTTTTAAAATTATTGAATTGCCACCTTAACCTAAGCAGAAACTCTTGTCCTCATGCCTGTAGCAGACGGGTGCTATTATTAAATGACTATCTTTCGCCAGGTACCACCCCGGGCCTGCTACCTGTATCTGCAGGGCTTACCTTCCCAACTCTCAGGAAGTGGGCATTTCTCCCTTTTGCAAATCAGAGACTCAACAAGACAGCGCACATTACAAGGTACTTCTACCTAGACTTGTTCAACCCTTACCCTCTGTTTGTGCATAGTCAACTCTCAGGTCCGTGTTTTCATCTTAAATTTTCCCCCAAAATTTGTATGTTAAAACTGAGTACTTCAGAATATAACTATATTTGGAGAGAGAGCCCTTAAAGAGATAAAGTAAAACAAGGTCATTAGAGTGGTCACTAATCCAGTGTGACCGGTGTCCTTGTAACAAGAAAAGATTAGGACACAGACACACAGAGTGTTTAAAGACAACAGGAAGAAAGAGGAGAAAGCAAGCCCTTTCAAGGAAAGGACAGAGGAGATCAGAAGTAATCATGCTGCCCACAAACGCACCTCAGGCTTCTGGCCTCCAGCGCTGTAAGCAAGTAAGAGTCTACTAGTCAAGCCTACATTCTGTAGAACTTCACTCCAGCAGCCACAGCCAACTACCACAGTCGCTCCCCACCCCCAGGAAACAGACGATGCAGAGCTCAGCACAGAAGTTGGAGTGTTTCACACACTAGATGTTGGGCTACTTATGGTGACCTTGAATGGCTTTCAAAGCTCCATTTTCTGAGCTTTATTTAACAAGTGGAGAGTGGTAGCATACATGCAGTGGATCTTCTTCTACAAACCAGTCCAACTATTCAAAGGAAATGTGCCCCTAGCAACAAAGACAGACGCCATTAAAGTAGATACAAGAGATGGAATTGTCAGGCTTCTTGAAGTATCCAATACAGGACAAAAACATCTGCTGGCTGAAGGGGGTCACTGAGTACCTATCAAGGACAGTGGCAGTTGGTCACAGTATTTTCTGAATCAGAAGAGCCGGGCACCCTTCTCCCTCCAGACCGCCCCATCATTCAGACTTAACTTTGTTTTATATTCATCTGACTGTCACAGTTTAGCATACAGAAATGATGCTGCAGGTTCCACTAGTTAACTACATGTTTTAACAAAAAAAATTAATAGCTTTTAGAAATGTACCACCCTAGATCCTTCCCCATTGGGCATCTGGTCTGCAAGTCCTACTGCCTTAATTTACCGATTAATCTCATATTTCCTGTTCATAGGAAAAAGACTATTGTAACATGACAGTTGTTTATATTTCTTATGTCAGATATAGGACTCGTGCATCACCCTGCCCTGGGTGGCTAGTGATCACAGACCTCATGGACTCAGCCACCCTCGCGATGAGAAACAACTCAAACGAGGACCCAGGTTTAACTGTAGAGTCCAGTCGTGCATCCCGCAGGCCCGAACCTTCTACTGTTGATCGTAACTGCTGCTGTGCAGACAGCAAAGCCAGTGGCGTAGGCAGGAAGGCGTCATGCTCCGCTATGTAGACAAATGATGCTCTGTACCTACGACACGTGACACCATGGGCAGGATCGTCTTGGGCACCAGGTGGGGCACGCTGAGCCCGCATGCAAACACAGAACACACCAGCAGAGGGGAACAGAGCTGCTGTCAGAGGCCAGGCCACTGGGACAGCCTGACTGGGAGCCACAGTATCTCATTAGAGACAATGCAGTTAGCATTTTATAAACAGATTCAAACGGGCTTGATCAAACACATACGCAAGCACGGGATCATTTGCCTCTCGTCTGGCCACTGTGCATACCTGTTATAGAGAAGAATGTCTGGTTTCCAAATCTGGCCATCTGGGAAGCGAAGAGTCTTCACGCCCGGGTATTCTGACACATTCCACTGCAAATAGTGATCTGTCCAGGACTGACACACACACAGAAGGGCATTAGCAGCACTTTGCTTTTTGACCTACTTATATTTCTTGGAAGGGATTATTAAGTAAGATCAAAACCAGAAAGAGTTCCAGACATTTATTTACATAACTGAGTTGTTTTTTATAAAATATAAGTAAATTGGTAATTAAATAATCTTTGAAATGATCATGAACAGCATAAGAATCACATTTAAGGCCCCACTGTCACGCTGGCTACTCTCAAAGGGCAGCATTAAGGCCAATTCTGACCCATCGCGCACCCCCAAGCCTTTCCTCATGCAGCGGATGGCTCCTTCTAGCTAAACAAATATGGTTCTGCTTTCCAAGTTTTCATCGTTAGGACATTTTGAAAAAATAAATTCACTTAGCTCAACTCAAATAAAAGCCAGGCTGTGGAAACACACACCATTCATTTCCACAACATAGCGCTGTGCAGCTTTGGGAAGCAGCTCGGAGTCTCCTGGAAGCATGTTCTAAAGTATGACTCTGGCTCTGCTCAAGGTCTGGTGCTGCTGAGGCCACAGCCCAAGAATGCCACCATCAGGCCCGGCGGCAGGGCCTTGGTGGGTCTAGAACCAGGGAGAGGTACCTGTACGCACACAAGCTCAAGGCCAAGCCCCGTGGAGATTCTGGAGCGATCTGGGCCAGAGGAAAGCCAAAACCTAGAGTCCACCCCACCAAGACCAGGCACTCACCAGCTAGGCCGGGGACAAGCTGCTACCATGTCTGCACAGGTGGGCTCAGACAGAGCGAGCCAGTGCCTCACTGCTGGAGTCTCGGGGCTGGGAGGTTTGGAGTCAGCAGCTCCCCGCAAAAGCACCACAATGAGACCCCATTTTCTGTCTAGTGCCACTGCTGACACCTCCCCTGTTCTAAAGCTGAGACTTCAAGGTTCAGAAAGACACAGGCTGCAAACTGCAACCCCCTGCTGGGATCAGGGGCTCCCTCATGGGAGGAGTGTTGTTCTTTCCGCATCAGAATTTACATGCATGGTTACACTGAGGGAGGAATGCTCCAACTGCACATCAATTTCAATGTGATTTCAGACCAAATGAATTTGGAAATGTTAAAAAACAGCACGAGGGGACAGAGAACAAATATTCAGAGCTGTTGAGATTCAGGAATTGAATATGAGGCATTGAGGGTCAAGGGCTATCGATTCTGGAAACAAGGAAGAGGTCCAAGGCCATGTTCCAGAGATCCGACCGCACTCTGGCAAGAGCGGATAGCTTCCAGAAAGGGTATCTGAGAGCGGGGCCTGGTAATACCTGCCCGTAACCCCAGAACTCTGGGTGGTTGAGGTAGGATGGTGCCAAGTATGAGCCCAGCCTCAGTACCTCAGCAAATGAGCAAGACCCTGTCTCAAGACAACCATTTTAAAGAAGGCTGAGGACGCCGCCTACTGCAAAAGCGCCAGGTCCTACCCATCTCTAAAAGAGGTTATCTGAGCTCTAGAACCATTTGAAGTTAAGCAAGAGGGACTCTCCGGATGTGACTTCCTTTTTAGATCAAGAAACCTCAGAGAAGGAAGATTCCTTAATGGGGAACTGTGGTCTAGGGCATGAGAGGCCCGCCCTGTGGGCCCCCTGATGAGATGCGGTGGGAGGGGAACGCTGAGGAGGGCTGATCGGGTCAAGGGGCTTCCCAGAAGCATCGGGCGCCAGCAGCTGATGCCCGCTGACCCCATCTGTCCCTTGCTCCGGGCACAAAGTCCGTCCACGCCAGCTCCTGCACGAGCCTTGCCTCCACCTTGCATCTCACCCTGGCCCGCTTCCCTGGATTGGCCTCAGATGATCAACAAGCAGCCACAATACCCATCATTACAGCCATCAGAGCCAGGCATTGGCCCGTGAAGGTGGGCGGGCTCTGGGTAGAGCAATCACCTGTCTCCGCCATCTGCTGAGACAACGGCCAGAAGAGATGGGGCAGGAACAGAACACCCAGCTGGTAAAACTCAGACCTATCTGAAGACACCGTCAGCGGCCTCCCCGCTGCCCCGCACTCTGTGCATCCTGTCTGTGCACGCACTGCAAGCCATGGCCTGACCAGGCGACACTACTGCCACCTCCCCAGGTCAGCATGGTGTGTGCCGCTGCTCACCACTACCCAAGGGCATCAGCTGCTGCTGTACTTTCTTACAGATGGAGACTGGAGCTCAGGCAGTCACTGGGTCCGGACTTGACTGTATGGTCTCACTGACCTCAGGAAAAGCACCCCTTGGGCTGCGCCAGAGCCGGCTCCTCCAAGGCAATCGCTGCACTGGCACAGCTGTAACACGGCAGCAGGGCATGCGCACTGTCCCTGACGGTGCTGCACACCTGCTCACACTGGCCTCCGTGTGTCCACAGCCCTGCTGCCCGCCAGGGCTGAGGACCAGCTGCGGGGAGCTTCGCAACCAGCCCTGAGCATGCACCAGGGCTTGTGGCGGTGCTGCCCTCTCTGGACTACAATTTCCTTCTGAGAGTTCAACGCAGGATGGCGCCTTCAGGATGAAATAAGACTGGGGTGCAGCACCAGGTGAAAACCATGTGCGCCTCACAGGCAAGTGGAGGCTTTTCAAGAAAGAGAGATTCCTCCATTGTATAAAATCCCACAATACATGAAAGCTGCATTAAATAAAATGGAGCCACAGCCAAGGTGGAGCACAGAGCTGGAGGCAAGCGTGGAGTCAGAGCAGGACCCTGGGCTCCTCCCCCGGGTTTCCTAAGAAAGGTGTGGAAGAAGGTTGCAGGAAAAGCCTGTCTTCTTGCAGTATTTGTTTGCAATCAGATCTTGGACTCCCTGGGGACAGAGGCATAAGGAAAACTTTGTGAACAGCACCCGACAAAGCCTCCATATACTGGTACCGAAAGGTGCACAAGTGGACTTGGAGACGCCAGGGCTCCCATCCTCCTGTGTGGAGCACCCCGTGTTTTTCTCTCCCTCTCTCTCACTCTGTCTCTGGGCTTCCTGCTCATCAAATCTTCCACAGAAGAGGTACGGGGCTATGAGGGGTACACACGCGAGAGACCTCCGATCTACAGTGCCCACAGAACCTGGATCCGCCTGCCCGCCTCAAAGACACTTCTTACGCTGTGTACGTGCCAGTGCCCAGCACGCAAGTGCAGCGAGAGAAAAAGAGAAGTTTTCTTTTAAGAAAATACAGTATAGCCTAAGACATGTATTTGGTTGTCCTAGCCCAGAGCTGCTAAAAACAGCATCCTTTGTGAATAAGGTCCTCTCCTGTCCCCCACACCTGAGCCTCAAGGTAGGCCACGACTGGGGCAGGGCCTCTGAAAGACCCATGATGTCACTGGGGTGGAAACTTCTACCCCATCTCCTGCCCATCTCACGTCTGAGGATAGAGGACTAGAGATCAGGGAATAAAGACTTCTACAGCAAGGTGTCACCCACAGAGGCAGCAGGTGCTCTCCTCCTCCCCCCTCCCTGACCTGCGTCTCCTCCAGCAGGCAGCCTCAGAGCTGCGTCCTTTAGGCTAAGCCGTAAGCAGAAGCGTAAGTTTGCTTGAGGAATGCCCTGTGGAAGAAGGCTGTGAGCCCTGAGAGTGGTGGAAGGGTGGTAGGTTTTAAGAAATTGAAATTCCAGTGGCCACATGGAGGCACGGGAGGCCTGACAGCCCATTTACAGCGGGTGTCTGAGGGGGGGCTGGGTAGTCGTACGGGAGCGCGCCTTGGAGCTGGGGGGCAGAGGCTAACTTAAGATCAATGACGTCAGAATTGAGTTAGAAAACTAGTTGTTGAGCACTGGAAAACGCCAACCAAGCATGTATTTAGAAAATTTGCCAATCAGCCACTTTACAAGAGCCCCCTTGCCCCTAAAACTCTTTCTGATCATGAAGCACAATGAGTGGGACCCCCCCCTAACCTCAGGATGCACTCATGCCATCTATGTGGCTGGCCAATCTACGAGCATAGAGGCGTGAAGCACCTCTACGTGTCTGGGGTAACAAAGGCAGAAATTTAAAAGGTAAACATTTTAGAGATAATGATGAGCTACAAGCTAACGTTCTATGACGTCAATGCTACTAACACCATCATAAGAATTAAGAGCTTAAAAACAGAGAAGAAAAGAAAACCTAAAAGCAGAAATGTGGCCAAGATTCCAAAACAGGAAAAAACATCTTTTCAAAAAGTGAATGCAAATCTCTGAATGGCTCACTTATCTCTTCGGAAACCGAAATAGTTCCTGTCATTTCTTCTCATACATTAAATCAGATTATGTCTGACAGGCCTCCCGAAATGATAAACCATCTACAGAGAAAATATACCAACTGCTTCCTCATAGGAAGAACAGGAGGAGGGAAACAGAGAGATCAGCAACTTTGTATTCCTGCAGGTTATCTGGCTAATCTGGAAGTCATACAAAATTAAGGACAACTGGGAGACAGGATAACAAAATCAACAAACCGCAGGTCAAAGAGAATTTAATTTCATTTTTGCTGGAACTTTTCCTGCCTCTTCCATTTTGATTAGATATAAAAAATATATCATCTGCCAAAAATCAACCTGCCTTTACATACTCTGAAGAAAGGACGGTGTGGATCCCGGTTGTTCAGGACAGGAATTTAGCAACATGGAACAGCGGGAGAGACAGACTCACGGCTGAGCACCATTTCCTGGACCTCTCCTGGCCCCGTGCACATGCCCAGCCTGGGAACCCTGGCCCTGTTCACTTTCAGTACTGAGCTTCCTGCTCAGTTGTGGCCAATTCTCAGGGAGTGTCAGGCTAGGCTGGACACCAGCAAACACAGGAATAAGAATCAATAGGTGGTTGTTTAGAAATGATGCACAGAAGCCTACAAGCCTGCCCTGGGGGATGCTCAATCCTCAGTCCCTGCAGCAGCCAGGAAGCCAGGAACTGCGGGCAGACATTGGTTTCTTTTCTTTTTGGCGGAACCGGGATTGAACTCAGACCCTTGCGCTTGCCAGGGAAGCGCTTATTCCACTGAGCCATCTCCCCGGCCCTGACATTGATTTCTTAACTGTTAACTTTGTCTTAACTCCCAGATTCTTCTGATGCCTTGAAGATCCCTTTGGGAGGCAGCATCGCCTTCTGCATTACTTTCTAGGTCAGTGTTACTACCCAGCTTCATAGAAGCCCACACTGGCAGAAGCTGGCTTGCACGTCACACAGAGACATCTGAAAACAAGCCTCAATTAATGATGCTCCAGACCTCACCACTTAGAAGAGTCTGGGCCTCTCACCTCGTCTCTGATTGCCACACAGCCATGCAGTTCCCAATGTCCTATTAGCCGCCTGTCCCCCGCGGTGTCTCTAGGGAACCAGTTCGTCTGGCTTTGTTAACCTTTTATTTTTTACTTCTTTTTTTATGACTTAAAAAAGTTTCCCTGGCACCTAACAATACATATCAATGGGTAGAGCGTGAGAATTCACACACGTACGCTATATGCAGCGATCAAATGCGGGTCATTAGCATTTCCAGCTCCTCAAACATCTATCGCCTTTCACTGGGTAACCTTTCTTTAAGTGTATTAATTATACAGCCTGAATTTAAATGGTTCGAAAAGTGGAGAGCGGGTATCCTCATCCCTGGGCCCCCCCCCCCCGCCTTGCTCAGGGCCTTCCACACAGCAGGTGCTTCCAACTACAAGCTCAACGGATAAAGGAAGATTTCTTCTAAATCAAGCTCGAGGTGCCTCTGCAAACGTAAGTCATAGTTAGAAATAAAGTTCATGTCAGAGAAATTTAGAGGCCTCTGGTGACAGACCCCAAAGCCACGGCGTTTATCTGGGCAGCAAGCCCATTCAGCACCGTAGCTTGTAACTCAGCTGTGCTCCTCCTGGAAGCCAACCCCACGACCAGCAGCTTCCTGAGGGCCGCAAAGGTGGGCACCAGGGAGACACTGGGTCACGGCACACGTATGTCTCTGTCAGAAAAACGTCAAGAGCAGCTCCATGCTTCGGGGCGTGGAGGAGACCTCTGTATGCCTGCAGATTTCCCAGTGCTTGATCTTCTACTAAAGTGTTCAAGGTTACAGACAGTTGGCTTCTCTTGGGGCAGCATTTTGTTCTCATTCACTGACTGGAAGCAGTGGTAATGAACTCGTCCAACCCAGCCCTGCCCTCTGGTGCACCCGTACTAGCGGGACAGAGGGCCATGCGCATGGGCAAGAATACACAGGCAGGAACGTATGCAGAGCACGATGCGGGCAAGGTCTCTGGTGGACAAAAAGGAGTGGGAACTGGAGGCGTAGCTCAGAGACAAGAGAACTGGCCTAGCAAGTTTGAGGCTCTGGGTTCAATTTCCAGCAAGGGGGCAGAATGAATAGAGGGAGGGCAGGTGCCGGGGGTAGCAGGGGCTGGCGTGAGACAGCACGTCAAGGAAGAAGTAACTAAAAAGACGCTGCTGAGGAGTGGCCAGTAAGAAGTGAGGGAGGAAACAGAGTGGTTCCTGGAAAAGCACTTTCCAGGCTGGAGGAGCAGTGAGTACTAAGGCCCTGAGGCAGGACTGCGCTCGGGTGACATGTGCTTTGATGACATCAAGACGACAGGAAGCACAGCAAGGAAGAAGCGGGCAGAGCCAATGCGAGAGAAAAAAGTCCAGGCAAGATGGCAAGCGAAGGTGACCGCCAAGTTCCTGTGGTGCCCAGGGAGGCCCTGGAGGCCCTGAGCCTGGGAGGCCTGTGACAGAACATTCATTCAACTAAAGGATCACGCCAGCTCACAGGTGGCAACAGACCCCATCAGGGGAGGACAGGGCTGAGCAGGAGGCCTGGTGGGTGACACTGTCGTGTTAGACACGATGCCCGAGTAGGCCAGCACAGAAGCAATGGGTTCATGTGTCTAGGTCCCGGAATTACTGGCAGATCAGCTATCGAATGACAGACAAGAGCGAAGAGGGACTCTGGGGTCTCTGGTGTGGGCATGTGGGTAAGCACAACTGCAGGTGAAAAGGGCTGAAGAGGGCAGAAGCACCACGGCCCATGGACACTGCGACAGTGCCAGAGGCAGGGAGCTGACTGTCACGGCGAGGCCCTTGGGGGCTGCAAGAGACGGACTTGTCTGTGCACACCCTGGGGAGGGCTGGGCTTCAGAGCAGCACCACCGTGTACCGGAGCTGGCGAGGGAGGCTCGCAGAGGTGGGCACATAGAAGGGCCATCTGCTGTCAGCGAAGAATGGTGCTCCAAGTCCTACGGGCCCCTCTGGACTCATTCCAGGTCCTGCCCGGGGGGCTTCCGTGTAGCCGAGCGAATTCCTGGGACACTGGGAGGATGGTTTCAGGTGCATCTGCTGTTTAGAGCTCAACACCGTGTGTATTCAGCTGCCTACCCAGGCCAGCCCAGGAATGTCCTGTGCCCTCACCCTCCTCCCCCATCCCTTGTCAGAGAGGGCACGTTTCCCTTGGCCACTCTTATCTCTGCACCGTGGACCCACAGAAGCCTATCAAAGGTCCATCCACCTTAGTGGTGTGAGGGGATTACGTGAAAAATGGGTGACAGACGCTTTCAAAAGCCAGATGGGTGTTAATTCTTTTAATTTTTTGCTTTCAAAAAGATGAAGCTGAAACTAGTAGAGTTGTCGGCTGATATATTTGGTAAGAACATCGTTGCTGGCATGCAATCCAGAAGAAGTTCAAAGAAGTGAGTAAAATCATTTTCATCAAATTCTTTTCATTACCAATACCACATGTTCCTGCATCTATTAATAAAGGAATTATACAATGGATGGTGACAACTATATTGTTCTAGAAGTAAAAACAGTCACCTGTAGACACATGAATTAATTCACAACAAAGCCCCATCTTTGACACAGACATGAATTTCCAATTTAAAAACTGTTTAATAATTATGTGTTAAAATTTGCAATCTGTGTCACCATGCTGAATTATGTAGCAATCTCACAGCAATCCAGAAGGAAAATCTTCATGGACTGAAGGAAAAATTCTTGTAATCATTTACACATGAGAAGCCAAGGCATGTGATTAATAAAATACTTTGGAATATAAATTATTTTGCATTAAGAAAAAATGCTATATGAAAAGTAGAACAGAAATGCAGGTACAAAGAGAAAAGGGGCCCATAAACTAGCTGATAGTCACAGCAGGACATGTTCATATGGTTTTTAAGTGAATGTCAGTGTGATATTTAGAGTCCACATAAGAGATCAACAGTTTTACCTAATGAAGGTAACATCGACTGTAGTTAATTAAATCCAGGTTACAGTCATAGATGTCAAGTTTAAAGTTCAGGAAGAGGGTGCAGCTTGAGCATCCCTTATCCAAAATGCTTGGGGCCAGATGTGCCTCAGATTTCCTAGGTTTCGTCAGAACTTGAGAGACTGGCATGGCGTCTTGCCGCTTGAGCACCCCAATCCAAAAATCTGAAAATCCCAAACTCTGAAATGCTCCAAAATCAGAAGGTTTCTGAGCTTCAAGGTAGCAGGCAAAAAGTTCTGGATCTGAGAGTATCTCAGACCACAGATTTGCAGATTAGGGACACTCAACACTGGAAGCCTCTTGAGGCTCTGGCAGGCGTCACTAGAGCGTGAAGTGTGCGGACTGCTGGCTGCAGGACCCTCAGTGTGGGTCAAATGTGCAGCTCTGGAGGGTGCAGAGAGCGGGCGGCACTGCCGAGTGCTACCAGGCAGAGTGCAGGCACCAGAATGCGGTTCTGAGACTTCTTTTCATGCATGCAGCGGCTGTGACCTGTCCCCCAGTAACTCAGTTCTACAACTTAGGCATGCATATGGAGTCCTGCTGTCACTCAGAATTTCATGTGCAATTGCAACCCAGAGGACTCTGTAAGTTAGCAACTGAGTCCACAGCCAACTCCTCCAGCATTCACCATGGTCACGCGTGGGGCATGGGTGGCAGCCGGCTTTCGCCATGGGAGCCCTACACATCAGTCACATGCACCTGAGGAGCAAGCACAGGCAGACACACAGGCAGAGACTGTACTGCCTTAACTCACCATCTGCAGCCAAATGTTGGTGGTTAGAACTTGGTTCTTCTCATCCTTTAATAAAAAAGAAAAAGCAGTGTAAATATGGCTGGTATGCTCTACAGAAGAAGGAATGATACAGTTACTCATGCAGGGATCTGACTGCTGGGATCAGTGTTGTGTGTGGAAATTAGAATGCACCAAGCATCTGCAAATGTAAGCCAGCAGCATTTCCCCAGAGCTAAGCTTTTCTATTTATTTCAAAGTAATACACATTTATTACAGAGCACTTACAAAGGACGGCAAAGTATAAAGAAGAAAATTAAAATCAGGCAGTCCTACCATCCAGAAATGATGCCTGCTGAGGACTTAGCTATTTATCTTTCATTTTGTAATTTATACACTTTAAAAATTTGGTGCAAATTCCCATTTTTTAAAGTCAGGTTTACTATTAGAATTTATATACTTTTAAATAAACATAAATATTACATGGTTTTCCCTGCACCAGGAAACGAGGCCAGGCCCTGTGGTGACCTGCCTCACTGAGCACGGACAGCGTTCCTGCGGAGAGCGTCCTCGCCTTACTGCTGTGGCCTGGGCTGTCTGTTCTCTCACCCTCTCTTCACCAGGCAAGATGCCCAGCCCTTGCCAGCAGCCTGCAGGGTAAATCCTACCCCAGCGAACTAGGTGAGAACAGCAAGGGGGCTTCACAGAGCAGCCATTCACACTCCAATCCCTCCAGATCCCTCCAGTTGGCGGACTCCAGACTGCCAACCCATCTGAGTGTGAGAGCGAGAGGGCCATCTCGTCTGCAGCACCCGGGGCTGGCAACAGTGCCCGACCACCGGGGCTCTGCACACACGGGCATCTGCTCATCTCCCGTGGCCCTCAAACACCCCTGTATCAGAGGCAAGGCCCGAGCGTGGCCCTACCGGGAAGTGCTGGAGCCTGGCGGGGCTTCTGGATCACTGAGCAGACTGGAAGCAGATACAGGGCTTCGGTCCTTTCTTCCCCTGTCTTTCGCTCCCTGTTCACCAGCCAGGCTGCTGCCCTGTACCAGGACTCCTGTCGTGATGTCTCATCCTGGGCCAAGAACTCCAAACTATGAGAGAAGCATTTTCTCTCTATAACTTCATTATCTCAGACATTTGGTATAGTCACGGGAAGCTAACAGACCGTCTAAAGAACAGTCTGGTCACACTTGGCCTTTCTGCCCAGGCTGCGGCTGGCCCTGTACCACAGCCAGCCAAGCCCAGAACAGTCATCGAAAAAACGACTTGCAAGGAGACAGCTGAGCAGAATTTGTCAACACTACTGTTATTAAATCACTGAACCTTCAGTTCCAACCTAGACTCTATGACTTTATAACTGATGCCTTTTCCAGGGAAGCTGTTTCTTACTGACCCCAGGAAGTCCTGCCTACTGGCCGAGACCTCCAACAGACCTCAAACTCCTGTAACAGGAGCGACTTGGCCTGGCTCCCTGATGAGCGGTCACCAAAAACAGATCCAATAGCGGGAAGCGCAGGCATCTGTCGGTGCGTGGCCAGCGGGCAGGGATGCAAATGTGGACTGAACGCCACACGGCCCGGCATTAAACAGCAAAGTGGCCACAGAGCTCTGGGTTGGCAGAGACGCCTCGCTGCCTTAGCGCCAGCTCTCAGCTGCCCACCCTCGGGGCGCTTCTGAGAGCGAGATGGGAGGGGTGCGGAGAGCCCCCCCAGAAAGGGCGGGACTGCTGGGAAGGCTTATGTGGGATAATTTCCCAGGTGGGCCCAGGCCAGGGGCCATGTCCAGAAGAAGCTGGAAGAAAGACATCTCCAGTTCCAAAACAAAACATGTCAGGAGTTGTGACAGGCAGCGAGCACCAAGAGCTCACGTTTCTCCCCGCGATCCCCGGTGGGGCCACGCCCCTAATTTGCATATGGGTTCTGCTTTAGTTCAGCACCTACTACTTCAGTGCTGCGGAACTCTCCGGGACATCTATCTGTTCCCTTAACATATGAGGGAGCTGTTGTTTCTAATGGTCTTAGAATTGGCGAGGCTTCCATTTAGGTGTCTTTTCTTCTTTTAATTGTATTTGTCTCTTCCTCTCCTGAGAGAAAGACTTCTGCGGTTTGGGAACTCAATTACTACCAATCTAATTAAAAGGCTTTCTTCTTTCCAGCGTTCAAAGGAAGCCTCATTAGAGTGTCACTGGATTCCTGTGCTGTGTGGCAGCCTGGGACCAAGGTACGGCATTTCAAACTGTAATCAACAACAAGCAGCAGCCAGCCGCCAGCTGCCGGTGCTACAGCACCCCAGAGGCAGCTCCGAAGTGCCTGTATCCGTTCACTCGTTCACTCGTTCATTCGTTCATTCACTCACTCAACAAATGTTCTACAGCACTGTCCCCGGCATTACACAGAGCTGCTATGTGGGGTGGGAACAGAACCCTGCTCCTGACCTCCTGGAAGACAAATGCGGGTGCAGGGTTTGGATCACACAACACAGCAAGGATGTGTGTGTACCAAGAAATGACAACAGCCTTGTGGAGGGAACAGACAGGGCCTCCCCGAGAGGCTGATGGGTACGACCGTACCCAGAGGGACGAGAGGAGAGCCCTTCCCCTCATACACTGATAAGCCTTTGCTCTGACCAGCTGTGACTGTCCACCATACAATCTGTGCACCACTAGCATTGGGCATCCAGCCCTGCCACCAACAGCCCGGCTCACCCAGTCTCCATGCAGGTGATCCGATCCCCACACTTCCCTTGCCTGTGACTACAGGCACAGGGAGACCTCAGCCCTGCCCTCCCTTGTCAGGGGTTGTACATTTCCACGCTGGAAGGGAGGAGAAGAGGACAGGGAAGGAGAGGGGTAGAGGGAGGGCACAGGGGAGGAGAGGGGAGGGGCAGAGCCTCGGGAGCTTGGGTGGTCTGCAGGTGCCTGTAGTCTGCATAGTGTGTCTCTCTGGCTTTTGGCAGCAGCAGGACATCTAAGACAAGGCAGTGCCCACAGGGGCTCCAAGCTTAGCGCCCACACTTATTTAGGGATGAAACCTAGCTCCTACTCACATAAGAAGCTTCCTTCTCCTACACAAACGTACTGTCCACTGACCACACAACCACCAGCCTCCTGTGCAAAGTACTGAAAACCCAGAGCCGGTGGAGGAAGCAGCACTCACCAGCCACTTCCACCCCAAGCTGGACACACAGGCTGCAGGCTTCCTGTCCGGGAGGAGGGTGAAATGGCTAAACCCTGGCTCAAAATGACTGGGGGAGGCCCCTGGAAAACAACATGCGTGGTGCCCCAGGGGTGCCGATTAGCGAGCAGTGCAGCCTCCGCAACTCGCTCTGTGAGCTGTGAGAAGAAAAACACCATAAATTGGGAGGTTTATAAGCCACAGGAATTTATTTCTCACAGTCTGGGAGGCGGGAGCCTGAGACCCAGGCAGCAGGATAGCTGAATTCTCGTGGCCTGGTAGAAGGGGTGAGGCAGCTCTCGGGAGTCTCTTTTCGAAGGGCAGCAGACCCACCACAAGGGTGGCAGCCTCACGAGCTAGCCGCTCTCTCTCCACGCCCACCAAGGAGCCCACCTCCGTGGGAATAAGATTTCCACATCAATTTGGGGGGTACAAACATGAATGCACAGCACTCTGAAAAATGGGTTTCAGTAATTATAGATCGTTGGGCCACCACCCAGCTGTCACTGCCCTGTCTCCACCAGGCAAGATGGCACGAGAAGCACAGGCCGCATGGGCAGATCCCACTCAGCCAGCCCTTGCATCTGGGGGTCGCAGTATTCTGTCCTGAGAAACGGGAATGTTGCCACCTTGAGCACAACGCAGTCTACAAAATGTCACTCAGAGCTAGGGGCTATGATTGCGTGACGGCCACTTGGCCACAGAGCTCTCCTGCAGGACTTGCGCTTCTCCCGCCTCCGAGACTCAGGGGGAGGCAGGGTCGAAACACGGACTCACAGACGAGCAGCACACCAGAGGACCCCGGACCACCGGCTTGCCTGCCCCCATTCTTTTCAATCTGACACACTGGGGAAGGGCACAGCTAGATTTATGGGAAGTCGCCAAAGTCTCACTCTTGCTGAGTAATCGTGTGTCTGACTTAGAGAACAACTCTCCCGATGATGTGTAATGTGCTATCTCGCATTCCTACAGCAACTATTCTTCTGGATAGGTACAGGGAGCCATTATTCAACATTATTTTACGGGGCTCTCATCGCTTCTCTTTTTTCTTTCAGGTAGGTGCTGAGAGAAATAAAAACATAACAGGAGATCTCACCATGTCTAAGTCCTTGTATGCAGAGAACACTAGATGATATAAATTGTCATTTGTGGCCCCTCCAGAGTTTATAGGAAGGCTGACTTCTTTTATCTAATTTAATCTTTATACCAAGCATTTTTTAATCCAGTTTTACAGAATAATAAACTGAGAGTTTCTGATTTACTCTGAATCAGCAAAACGCCATGTCTAACAAAAAAAAAAACAAAGCCATATCCAGAGTAAGATATAAACTCATAATTACAAGTCAGTCAGAAAAAATGAAGTCAAGGGGCCAGCAAGATAGCTCAGATAGCCCAGGCAAGCGCAGGGACCACAGGCCCCTGGCCCAGCCCCTGGGGGCACTGAGCCAGCTGCCGAGACCCAACACAGTGCAGCACACCTTCAGTCCCAGCACAGGGGAGGCTGATAACAAGAGGATCACTGTGAGTCCGAGCTGTGTAGTGAGACCCTGTACCAAATGCATGAAAAAGCAGTCAATCCAACAGAAAAATGGGTAAAAGATGAACAAATGCTTTGCCAGCCAAATAGCACACGCGACAGCGGAAGATAACACAACTAACCCCTAAACAGAGTTGGCACTCTTGTAAATGTCACAAACATGTGCACACGTTCACGTGCATCCTTTGTACCCAGGGAGGTCTCACGACCACGCGGCAAAGTTAGTACTATTAGACTTCTCGTTTTTTAACAGGAGTCTAGGTAAACTCCCCCAAATGCTAACTTTGTGTCTCTCTGATTTGTCTGAATGCTGGACTGGAACCTTGTATCACCTTTGCAATCAAGAAGGAGGAA